GTTTTAGGGTTTAGGGTTTTGCTGCAGGGATCTCTATGGCAACAAGTGAGCTTTGCTTATGGTCACGTGGTTCTGGCAGGCCCGATTTCGAAATACCAACAACTTAAAGCTGCCCGTCGCAGACCATGCGACAGCAGTGCGTCTGACCGGCATGCGAAGGATACAAACCCAACTCGACCGGCCCTTGAAGCAGAACTGGCCAGACCCTCCCGCGAGCAGGCATGCTCAGGAACTGCGAAACCTGGCACGCCACTCAGGCAAGCTTCAGAAGTGAACTGTCAAGAATCCTAAGCCCTAAACCCTGAACCCTAAACCCCTAAACCCTAAACCCCTAAACCCTAAACCCCTAAACCCCTAAACCCCTAAACCCCAAACCCTAAACCCTAAACCTCAAGCAGAGTCGCTGTGTCGACCTCGTTGACGCGATCCAGGAAGAACCAAACAAAGACCTCGTGGAGCCGACCGGAGGCTCAGAAGTGGGTCGAGGCTTCAGGGCTATCCGCTAAGGAGGGGTTTAGGGTTTAGGGTCCAGGGGTTTAGGGTTTGAGGGTTCAGGGTTTAGGGTCCAGGGGTTTAGGGTTTAAGGGTTCAGGGTTTAGGGTCAAGGGGTTTAGGGTTTAAGGGTTTAGGGTTTAGGGGTTGAGGGGTTGAGGGGTTAGGGTTTAGGGGTTGAGGGTTTCTTCCTTTCTGGGTTCCTTGAAAGGGCTCCTTTAAGGGATCCGCTAAGGAGGGGTTTAGGGCTTAGGGTTTTAGAGGTTTAGGGTTTAAGGGTTTAGGGTTTAGGGTTTTAGGGTTTAGGGTTTAGGGGGGCTTGAGGGTTTCTTCTTTCAGGGTTCCTTGAAAGGGCTCCTTTAAGGGATCCGCTAAGGAGGGGTTTAGGGGTTCAGGGTTTTAGAGGTTTAGGGTTTAAGGGTTTAGGGTTTAAGGGTTTAGGGGTTTGGGCGTTTGGGGGTTTAGGCGTTTAGGGGTTAAGGGTTTAGCAGTTTAGGGTTTAGGTGTTTAGGGGTTAGGGGTAAGGGTTTAGGGGTTCAAGGGTTTGGGGTTTAGGGGTTTAGGGGTTCAGGGTTTAGGCGTTCAGGGGTTCAGGGGTTCAGGGGTTTAGGGGTTTAGGGGTTTAGGGGGTTTAGGGGTTCAGGGGATCAGGGGTTTAGGGGTTTAGGATTCAAAGGTCTAAAAGGCCTAAGGGTGTAAGGGTTTTTCCAGGGTTTAGCGTCTTGTGTTTGGGTTTAGAGTTGAGGTGGCTTCAGGGTTTTAGAGATATCATACAGGTGCTGGGTGATGGGGTTTGGGTTTGGGGCGGGGGTTCAATCGTTCAGGTTGCAGGGTCCCGTGGGTTTCGTGTTTGAGGCTTGGCATTTAGGGTTTAGGGTTTAGGGATTCTGTTCTATTGCAAGTATCGGCTTCATGTGAGGGTCTTGCAAAACCACCCAACAAACGACTGAACTCGAACAGATCCCACTAGCCTGGACCTGCAGGCCCCAAAAAGTCGTAAACCCCAGCGCCGCACTCAAGAAAACTTCCTCGTCTCGTTAGGATTTAAGGTCCATGAGCTCCGAGGTAGGGTCTGGTAGCCTTCCGAGCTTAACCTTTCCACAAAACGAAACTCAGAAGAAGCCGTCAGGTTCAGTTCTTTCCCCTTAGCTCCTTTCCCTAAGCCCTAAACCCTAAACACTCTCTGGACAGAAAAACCCACCCAAACGGCGCCTCACGCGGCCACTGCGCGGAGGAAGCCGAGCTCGGCGCA